TCCCCACCACCACTATTATCATTATCATCACTACATCACCATTATCACCACTACCACCACCACCATTATCACCACAACCCCATCACCATCATAACCACCATCCCCAGCACCACTATTATCACCATCATCGTTACCATCACTACATCACCATTATCACCACTACCACCACCACCATCATAACCACCATCCCCACCGCCACTATTATCAGTATCATCGTTATCATCACTACATCACCATTATCACCACCATCCCCACCACCACTATTATCATTATCATCACTACATCACCATTATCACCACTACCACCACCACCACCATTATCATCACAATCCCCATCACCATCATAACCACCATCCCCACCACCACTATTATCATTATCATCACTACATCACCATTATCACCACTACCACCACCACCATTATCACCACAACCCCATCACCATCATAACCACCATCCCCAGCACCACTATTATCACCATCATTGTTACCATCACTACATCACCATTATCACCACTACCACCACCACCATTATCACCACAATCCCCATCACCATCATAACCACCATCCCCAGCACCACTATTATCACCATCATCGTTACCATTACTACATCACCATTATCACCACTACAACCACCACCGTCATAACCACCATCCCCACTGCCACTATTATCATTATCATCGTTATCATCACTACATCACCAATATCACCACCATCCCCACCACCACTATTATCATTATCATCACTACATCACCATTATCACCACTACCACCACCACCACCATTATCACCACAATCCCCATCACCATCATAACCACCATCCACACCACCACTATTATCACCATCATTGTTACCATCACTACATCACCATTATCACCAATACCACCATCACCATTATCACCACAACCCCCATCACCATCATAACCACCATCCCCACCACCACTATTATCACCATCATCGTTACCATCACTACATCACCATTATCACCACTACCACCACCAGCATTATCACCACAATCCCCATCACCATCATAACCACCATCCCCACCACCACTATTATCATTATCATCGTTATCATCACTACATCACCATTATCACCACCATCACCACCACCACCACTATTATCACCATCATTATTACCATCACTACATCACCATTACCACCACTACCACCACAACCCTTATCACCACAACCACCATCACCATCATCACGATCCTCACCACCATAACCACCATCTTCACCCTCACCCCACCATCATCATCACTATCATGATTAGCATTATATTTACGACCACCATCTTCACCACCATCATCATCAACATCCTTATTACCACTATAACCCTCACCATTAGCATTTGACCACCATTACCACAATTATCACCACATCCATTGTCAACATCATTATTACCAATATCATTATCACCACCATTATCACCATTACCATCATCATCAGCATTATCACCAACATCCATCATTATTACCACTATCACCATTAGCATCATCACCACAAACAACTTTTTCACCATCAACATTATTACCACCATCACCATTATTATCCTCACCATGACCACCATTATCACCATAATTATTATTACCACTATCACCATTACAACAATCACCACCAACATCATCATCAACATCCTTATTACCACCATCTTCACCACCACAATCATAAAATGTATTAATACCACTATCACCATCTCCAGCATCATCACCATTATCATAACCACCTTCACCACTATCATCTTCACCACCAGTACCACCATTAGTGACCAAGCTAGAGGGCAGAGCTGGTCTCCTCTCCTCGTGGAGACTACCTAAGCAGACAGGTTCTTACTCTCCCTCGGTTCCTCAAGGTGGACCTGGGTTCTGCTGCAGGCATCATGGACCTCCAGGAGCTCCGCCTCCATCCGCTCTCAGAAACTCAGCGGCTCCTCCTGTGCGACCCAGGTGTCTGTTTTTGGGTCGGGTTCTACTGGAAGGCCAGTAGGAACATCAGCACCACGTTGATGATGATGAGCAGCATCATGATGACAAACACCACCACCTTCTGGGTGTCTGGGGGGAGGTTACAGCGCAGGAGGGTGTTAAAGAAGCCTATCTTCTGCCTGCTCCACCTCCCAGAGCCATTTCCACGAGCCATGAGTGCCCTGGCTTCCTCCTCCTCCTCCTCCTCAGCGCCCCCCGTCCCAGGCCGCCGTTCTCTGAGCACTGAACCTCCACACCACACCGCGTCACCTCGTCCCGCTCCTGGATCGTCGTCCTGTAGAAGGGCCACCTCCCCTGCTTCTCCTGCCACTTTGCCGCTGCTCTCTGTGGCCCCTGGAGGCTGGGAGCCAATCTATGTCAGTCAGGGTGGATCTATAGAGCTATCTCTGGGAGCTCAGCACCATTTGCTTTCCTGTCTGTGCTCAGGAAGCGCCCCTCTGTTGGCTTCGTCTCAGGCTGCCTTTAGTCAGGATGTCAGGATGAAGACTGGGGGAGGGGATGGTCCTTCTCCTCCAGACATGATCATTCCTCCTGCTCTCCTCAGTCTCTGTGCTGCTTTTCTAGAAAATTGCTCTGCTTCTCTGTCCGACACGCTTTGCTGTCTCTGGATGTCAGCGGCTTTCCTCTCTGACTCTAAGATGGAGCTCAGCGCTGCTCCCTCAACCATCCATCTAACCACCACAACTGGAGGATTTTTTTCCTCCTTCCTTTCCTTCTGTCTTTGTGGGCCCGCCCCTGCATCGCCAACAGCCAATCAGAGTCTGTAGTGTGTCAGCACATCCTGGATACCAGACTGGTTGAGACAAGACCATAGCAACCCCTGGGAGGGAGGGAGGGAGGGAGGTGAGCAGAGTGGGGGTGGGGTGCAGAGGAGGCCATGCAGGCTGATCTGTAATAAAGAACGGTGCGGTTGGTTGGATGGGGGGGGGGGGGTAATGTGGCTGCCCTCCCTTTAAGCATCAGCTAGAACATAGAATATCAAAGTCTGCAGAGGTTCAGATCTAGAAAACACAATTCTGATTTGGCTTCAACCAGGAGATCAGATAGAGAAATATGTTTTTATTGTTTGCATCCTGCAGCCATCCATTGAAAACCTGCTGCAGGACATTAAAAACTACAGAGCTGGAGAGGTTTGATCCAAAACTTTTCAGCAGGGAATAAAAAAAGGAAAACAAGACTGAAAAAAGTGAAAAAAGATCTGAAACTGAAAAGATTAAAAATTAAAATAAAAACATTTTTGAAACTGAAACAAAGATTTGAAACCAAAAACATAAAATACTTTAAAAATAGACTTGAAATATATAATCAGAGGAACTGAAAATAAAAATTTTAAACTACTTTTTCTTTCAAATTGTGCTTTTAGTTTCAGTTTATGTCTGTTTTAGAGGCAGAGCTGGCAGTCCTCCCCCAGTGCCATCCGACCCCCACTGAGAGCCTTTTCATGTCCTTCCCTGGTTTACTGTGATCATTTACTGCTGACTTGCTGCATCCATCAGGAAAACACAGAAAAGCTGAATGAAAATCAGCTGTTTTTAATAAACTGCTCCATAAACTGCTGCTGCTTCGGTCCCAGATGCTGCTCTGCAGCGTTTAGAGCAAACTGTCAGATTTTTCATAATATGCCGAGGTTGACTTGATGCCAGTTCACTTCATTTCATCTCAGGTCACTTTCCAGTTCACCAGATCATCCAGTCAGATTGGTTTAAAGTTTTCTATCTAAGGAAAAACAGCTGATTGCATCGACTCATTGACTCTTCAGCAATCCCTCACACTAAGCATGCTTGTAGCAACAGTGGAGAGGAAAAACTCCCTTTGAACAGGAAGAAAGCTCCAGCAGAACCAGGCTCAGTGTGAGCGGCCATCTGCTGAGGCCCACTGGGGTTCAAGGAGACAGAAGCAGACATAGAAAAAGGATTCCCATAGGAATCCAATATAATCCCAAAGGAATAAAATAGGAATCCAATAGAAAGCCCAAAGGAATCCAAAAGGAATTCTATAAGAATCCTATAGGAATCCCATAGGAAACCAAAAGAAGTTAGATAGGAATCCAATAGACGTCCTGGAGTCGATTCCAGGCCTGGAATCTAGGGTCTCCCTGGGTACTCCAGCTTCGGTCTACAGTCTTAATCATGAACTTAAATATGTGGTTTTCCATCAATGGAATGTTTGTTCCAGAAATGGTTCCGTTCTACCCTTCTATGTCTATTTGCCATCTCCTGTTTCAACCAATTGGTTGAAGGCAGCGCTGGTCGTGAGCAGCGGGCGTTGCTCTATGGATGGTAGCAGCAGGACAGTGGCTTCGTTTCCGTCTGAGTTCACGTATTCTTTAATGGCTGAAGGAACAAAGCAGGAGCAGCGCCACCATGTGGGAACAATTACTTTGACCCAGGATGTGGAACCGGAATGGTGAGATAGCATTTAAAATGGATGGAAGAAAAGGAAACCGACAAAAGATTTAATCATCAAGGATTTTCTTACATAGATTTAATTCCTATTATTAAATAATCAAAGCAGAGAAACTGAAGGTTCATTAGTGCAGACGTGTAACTGAGCTGTGATATACTGGTTATACTGGTCTATAGAAAGTTTGCAGGGGGTCAGCCTATAGGGCTCAGGTGGAGGGCTTGGTTCTGCACCCAGTGTTTCCCCCCTGCTCGACTCTTCACCTGCCTACCTGCTGTTGGACGTCAGAGGGCACCGCTGGCAGCCTGGTTTCTGTTAGCATAGCTCACCACTGGCAGCGTGTGGATGACTGAATGCAAAGGGAAGTGCTATGGGGCACTCTCTGAGAATATAAGTCATTTACAATAGCAAGAAATGAACCCTTCTTTCTGGGATGGATAGGGCTGCATCGTCTGCATAAAGGTGGCATGTTTTGGTTGAACAGTTTGATGTGAAAAAGCTGACTACTCAGGGACATAGAACAGATCCAGGTCCCTGGATTGGCTCATGTGATTTTCAGAGGTCTGGAGACTGACACAGACCAACAGCCCAGCAGTCTTTATCCAGAAATAGTTACCTCATTAATGGCCAGCTGCTCCCCTCCGCCTCCACCCGGCTGCCCAAACCGATGTCCAGAAGAACGGAACTCCTCGTACAGGAAATCCTCCTCAGCGCCCAGTTCGTCTCCAAGGCCCGACTTTTCAGACGTGCCGTCGGGAACAACCAGTGCTAATCCAAAGGAGAAAAAGAAGAAAGGAGGGATGAGTGAATGAGAGAGCAGTAATCCAACAAAGTAAGAACGTCCATCAGGAGACAAAAGATGAAAAAATACTAAGTGGTAGAGACTGGAGTAGGACAACATGTGAACTCCAAAACAGCAACATCATCTCTATCAGACAGACTGTCTTCTTTTCAATCAGATAGAAACTGGAGCAATGGAATCCCAAAATATCCGCTCTCTGGACCGTTCTCTGGACCGCTCTCTGGACCGTTCTCTGGACCGCTCTCTGGACCGTTCTCTAAACCGCTCCCTGGACCGTTCTCTAAACCGCTCCCTGGACCGCTCTCTGGACCGTTCTCTAAACTGCTCCCTGGACCGCTCTCTGGACCGTTCTCTAAACCGCTCTCTGGACCGTTCTCTAAACCGTCCTCTAACCGCTCTCTGGACCGTTCTCTGGACCGTTCTCTAAACCGCTCTCTGGACCGTTCTCTAAACCGCTCCCTGGACCGCTCTCTGGACCGTTCTCTAAACCGCTCTCTGGACCGTTCTCTAAACCGCTCTCTGGACCGTTCTCTAAACCGCTCCCTGGACCGTTCTCTGGACCGTTCTCTAAACCGCTCCCTGGACCGTTCTCTAAACCGCTCCCTGGACCGCTCTCTGGACCGTTCTCTAAACCGCTCCCTGGACCGCTCTCTGGACCGTTCTCTAAACCGCTCTCTGGACCGTTCTCTAAACCGTTCTCTAACCGCTCTCTGGACCGTTCTCTGGACCGTTCTCTAAACCGCTCTCTGGACCGTTCTCTGGACCGTTCTCTAAACCGCTCTCTGAACCGCTCTCTGGACCGTTCTCTGGACCGTTCTCTAAACCGCTCTCTGGACCGTTCTCTAAACCGTCCTCTAACCGCTCTCTGGACCGTTCTCTGGACCGTTCTCTAAACCGCTCTCTGAACCGCTCTCTGGACCGTTCTCTAAACCGCTCTCTGGACCGTTCTCTAAACCGCTCTCTGGACCGTTCTCTGGACCGCTCTCTGGACCGTTCTCTGGACCGCTCTCTGGGTTTCTCTGGACCGTTCTCTAAACCGTTATCTGAACCGCTCTCTGGACCGCTTTCTGGACCGTTCTCTGGACCGTTCTCTGGACCGTTCTCTAAACCGTTCTCTGAACCACTCTCTGGACCGTTCTCTGGACCGTTCTCTAAACCGTTCTCTGAACCACTCTCTGGACCGTTCTCTAAACCGTTCTCTGAACCACTCTCTGGACCGTTCTCTGAACCGCTCTCTGGACCGTTCTCTGGACCATTCTCTAAACCGCTCTCTGGACCGTTCTCTAAACCGCTCTCTGGACCGTTCTCTGGACCGCTCTCTGGGTTTCTCTGGACCGTTCTCTAAACCGTTATCTGAACCGCTCTCTGGACCGCTCTCTGGACCGTTCTCTGGACCGTTCTCTGGACCGTTCTCTAAACCGTTCTCTGAACCACTCTCTGGAGCATTCTCTGGACCGTTCTCTGGACCGTTCTCTAAACCGCTCTCTGGACCGCTCTCTGGACCGTTCTCTAAACCGTTCTCTAAACCGTTCTCTGAACCGCTCTCTGGACCGTTCTCTGGACCGCTCTCTGGACCGTTCTCTAAACCGCTCTCTGGACCGTTCTCTAAACCGTTCTCTGAACCGCTCTCTGGACCGCTCTCTGGACCGTTCTCTGGACCGTTCTCTGGACCGTTCTCTAAACCGTTCTCTAAACCGCTCTCTGGACCGTTCTCTAAACCGCTCTCTGGACCGCTTTCTGGACCGTTCTCTGGACCGTTCTCTGGACCGTTCTCTAAACCGTTCTCTGAACCACTCTCTGGACCGTTCTCTGGACCGTTCTCTGGACCGTTCTCTGGACCGTTCTCTAAACCGTTCTCTGAACCGCTCTCTGGACCGTTCTCTGGACCGTTCTCTAAACCGTTCTCTGAACCGCTCTCTGGACCGTTCTCTGGACCGTTCTCTGGACCGCTCCCTGGACCGTTCTCTGGACCGTTCTCTAAACCGTTCTCTGAACCGCTCTCTGGACCGCTCTCTGGACCGTTCTCTGGACCGTTCTCTAAACCGTTCTCTGAACCGCTCTCTGGACCGTTCTCTGGACCGCTCTCTGGACCGTTCTCTAAACCGCTCTCTGGACCGTTCTCTAAACCGCTCTCTGGACCATTCTCTGGACCGTTCTCTAAACAGTTCTCTAAACCGCTCTCTGGACCGTTCTCTAAACCGCTCTCTGGACCGTTCTCTGGACCTTTCTCTAAACCGTTCTCTGAACCGCTCTCTGGACCGCTCTCTGGACCGTTCCCTGGACCGCTCTCTGGACCGTTCTCTAAACCGCTCCCTGGACCGCTCTCTGGACCGTTCTCTAAACCTCTCTCTAAACCGCTCTCTGGACCGTTCTCTAAACCGTTCTCTGAACCGCTCTCTGGACCGTTCTCTGGACCGTTCTCTAAACCGCTCTCTGGACCGTTCTCTAAACCGTTCTCTGAACCGCTCTCTGGACCGTTCTCTGGACCGCTCTCTGGACCGTTCTCTGGACCGTTCTCTGGACCGTTCTCTAAACCGTTCTCTGAACCGCTCTCTGAACCGCTCTCTGGACCGTTCTCTGGACCGTTCTCTAAACCGCTCTCTGGACCGTTCTCTAAACCGTTCTCCGAACCGCTCTCTGGACCGTTCTCTGGACCGTTCTCTAAACCGCTCTCTGGACCGTTCTCTGGACCGTTCTCTGGACCGTTCTCTAAACCGTTCTCTGAACCGCTCTCTGAACCGCTCTCTGGACCGTTCTCTGGACCGTTCTCTAAACCGCTCTCTGGACCGTTCTCTAAACCGTTCTCTGAACCGCTCTCTGGACCGTTCTCTGGACCGTTCTCTAAACCTCTCTCTAAACCGCTCTCTGGACCGTTCTCTAAACCGTTCTCTGAACCGCTCTCTGGACCGTTCTCTGGACCGTTCTCTAAACCGCTCTCTGGACCGTTCTCTAAACCGTTCTCTGAACCGCTCTCTGGACCGTTCTCTGGACCGCTCTCTGGACCGCTCTCTGGACTGTTCTCTGGACCGTTCTCTAAACCGTTCTCTGAACCGCTCTCTGAACCGCTCTCTGGAACGTTCTCTGAACTGATCTCTAAACCGCTGTCTGTACCGTTCTTTGGACCGTTCTCTGGACAGCTCTCTGGACCGTTCTCTGAACTGCTCTCTGAACTGCTCTCTGAACTGCTCTCTGAACCGTTCTCTGTACCCCTCTCTGAACCGCTCTCTGAACCATTCTCTGAACCGCTCTCTTAACCACTCTCTGAACCGTTCTCTGTACCGCTCTCTGAACCGCTCTCTGAACCGTTCTCTGGACTGCTCTCTGAATCGTTCTCTGAACTGTTCTCTGGACCGCTCTCACTGAAGGGTTCTCTGGACCGTTGTTTGGTCCAGAGAACTGTCCAGAATCAAGTTTGATGATCTGTTCTCTGAACTGTCCTCTGGACCTTTCTCTGAACCGTACTGGTCTGTGTATCTGTCAGGATTTGATGTTGGATTGAGGACCCAAATGCAGAGGCAAGTAGGCAGAGGTGAATTTAGGTGGGTTTAATGAGGTTCACAGGAACAGAGGCAGGAATAAAAAAAATCCAACAAAAAATAACAAACAAACCAGAACCAAGGAGACATCAGGGGAAAAACCAAACTCTAGGAGCCAGGGAGAGACGAGGTAAGCAGACAGACGTTAGACGAGGATCCAGCAAACAGGAACTGAAGAGGGAGGGCTTTTAAAGGGGACAGAGACAAAGAGAGGGCTAACAAGAGGATTGAAAACAGGTGAGGACAGAGCAGAAAACAGAGCAAGGGAAAGCGGACACAAGAGGGCAGCAGAGGACAACAAATGGAAAACCTGGAAGACAGGAACTAACAAGAAAATAATAATTAAAAACACTAAAACAAGAAGCAAAGTAAAGCTGAATACTCTAAATAAACATAACAAAACCAAGACTGTGACAGTATCGGATTGTCATTTGGTGAATGTGGATCTAGTAAAAGAGCTCTGAGGGCCAGTTTCACCAGAAAAGCAGAAAAGCACTTTTAAATTCAATCTGTTCACAGAAGTGATTGAGGGGAGTAAATTTGTGATTTCTATAAACCAGAAGCAGTTAAAATCAGTAATTATTTGAATCGAGGTCTAGTGAGAACATCAACTGTGACATGCCTACATCATTATTGGCGTATATAATAACATCATTATTTCACTAAAAACTTTGGTTCTTGTACATACAGGATTGTTTTGATAGATTCTGAGTTTTTGCAGCAGTTTAAAATGTATGAAGAGGTTCTGTCCTCAGAACTCGCTGCACTCGTTGCTTTCTATGTGCTTGGTCTGTTCTTCAACAAGCTCGTCCTGCTGGATCTCAGTGCTGCATTTGATCCAGTTGATCATAATATTCTTTTAGAAAGACTTGAATATTTTGTTGGAATTAAAGGAACAGCACTAGACTGGTTTAAATCTGATCTATCTGATCGAATTCAGTTTGTTCATGTTAATGATAGATCTTCCTCATGCTCAAAGGTTACCTGTGGAGTACCACAGGGATCAGTGCTAGGACCAATTCTCTTTACTTTATACATGCTCCCAATCGGTAGAATTATTAGACAGCATGGGATTAATTTCAGCTCAAACAAACAACTTTATTCATCCCGTAAAAGCTCAGTTCAGCTTGCAGCCTCCTCTGGTCAACATAGTAATCAATTCAGTAAAATAATAGAGTATAAACAATCTCATTCACAGAGTAAAAGGAACCAAAAACCAAGAGAGAGGAGCCAAGTGGCAAAACAGAGCTTAAAACCAACGTAGTGCCAAAGTAGGGGCATTAGCATCAACTGAGCTCTTAGGACATGGTTAGCTTAGCTTAGCTTGGATTTAGTTTTCAGAAGGACACTTTTCTTCCAATGGAGCTCAGGTCTGACATCTGGATTCCTGTAATCTGGCTACACATTTTAGCCACTGTTCAGACTGTTTT